TCTATTTACAAAATGTCTGCTATTGCCTTCTCTATAAAACATCACTAGTTACAAAATGTCTGCTATTGCCTTCTCTATAAAACATCACTAGTTACAAAATGTCTGCTATTAATTGCCTTCTCTATAAAACATCACTAGTTACAAAATGTCTGCTATTGTCTTCTCTATAAAACATAACTAGTTACAAAATGTCTGCTATTGCCTTCTCTATAAAACATCACTAGTTGCAAAATGTCTGCTATTGTCTTCTCTATAAAACATCACTAGTTACAAAATGTCTGCTATTGCCTTCTCTATAAAACATCACTAGTTACAAAATGTCTGCTATTGCCATCTATATAAAACATCACTAGTTACAAAATGTCTGCTATTGCCTTATCTATAAAACATCACTAGTTACAAAATGTCTGCTATTGCCTTCTGTATAAAACATCACTAGTTACAAAATGTCTGATATTGCCTTCTCTATAAAACATCACTAGTTGCAAAATGTCTGCTATTGTCTTCTCTATAAAACATCACTAGTTACAAAATGTCTGCTATTGCCTTCTCTATAAAACATCACTAGTTACAAAATGTCTAGTATTGCCTTCTATATAAAACATCACTAGTTACAAAATGTCTGATATTGCCTTCTCTATAAAACATCACTAGTTACAAAATGTCTGCTATTGCCTTTTCAGCATATATAATGATGCATTTATTACAGGACAAAAGAAACGTTATTGTAAAAGTCTTTAACTTAGGACCCAGAAACTGTACATCATTAAAAAAACCGTTTACACAAAACCAAGGTTTTGTAAGGTCTCTGGAAAACTGGACAAGGGAAACCTAACCTAAGCATAAGGCTTTTTATCACTAGATGAAGAAACACTTACCCAATAGTAAAGATTCTATCACAGGACGAGGAAACACTGACCCAATAGTAAAGATTCTATCCGGGACGAGGAATCACTGACCCAATAGTAAAGCTTTAACACAGGACATGGAAACACTGACTAAATAGTACAGCTTTTATCACAGGACATGGAAACACCGACCCACTGGTAAAGCTTTTATCACAGGACGAGGAAACACTGACCCTATAGTGAAGATTCTATCACAGGAGATGGAAACACTGACCCAATAGAAAAGCTTTTATCACAGGACATGGAAACACCGACCCACTGGTAAAGCTTTTATCACAGGACATGGAAACACTGATCCTGACCCAATAGTAAAGATTCTATCACAGGACGAGGAATCACTGACCCAATAGTGAAGATTCTATCACAGGAGATGGAAACACTGACCCAATAGTAAAGCTTTAACACAGGACGAGGAAACACTCACCCAATAGTAGAGCTTTTATCACAGGACGAGGAAACACTGACCCAATAGTAAAGATTCTATCACAGGACGAGGAAACACTGACCCTATAGTGAAGATTCTATCACAGGACGAGGAAACACTGACCCAACAGTGAAGATTCTATCACAGGACGAGGAAACACTGACCCTATAGTCAAGATTCTATCACAGGACATGGAGACACTGACCCAATAGTAAAGCTTCTAGCACAGGACATGGAAACACTGACCCACTGGTAAAGCTTTTATCACAGGACATGGAAACACTGACCAACTGGTAAAGCTTTTATCACAGGACAGTGAAACTCTGACCAACTGGTAAAGCTTTTATCACAGGACCTGGAAACACTGATCCACTGGTAAAGCTTTTATCACAGGACGAGGAAACACTGTCCCAACAGTGAAGATTCTATCACAGGACATGGAGACACTGACCCAATAGTAAAGCTTCTATCACAGGACGAGGAAACACTTACCCAATAGTAAAGATTTTATCACAGGACATGGAAACCCTTACCCAATAGTAAAGACTTGATCACAGGACATGGAAACACTGAACCAATAGCCACGATTCTATCACACGACATGGAAACACTGACCCAATAGTAAATCTTTTATCACAGGACAGTTAAACACTGACCAACTGGTAAAGCTTTTATCACAGGACGAGTAAACCTTATTGTAAAGTCAGGTACAATAAACTAGGAAAATCTTAACTAATTTTAAAATCTTATATGCTGGACTATAAGGAACACTCTCACAGGACATGGAAACACTGAACCAATAGCCACGATTCTATCACACGACATGGAAACACTGACCCAATAGTAAAGCTTCTATCACAGGACGTGGAAACACTGATCCACTGGTAAAGCTTTTATCACAGGACGAGTAAACCTTATTGTAAAGTCAGGAACAATAAACTAGGAAAATCTTAACTAATTTTAAAATCTTATATGCTGGACTATAAGGAACACTCGAATAGCGAGACCGTACCAGCTGATTGTAAAGCCTTTACATTGGGCCAGGGAAGTTTTGCTGGTTAATAAGTTTCTATATATATTGGGCACAGACAAGGTTTTGTAACAATAGAGATGGCTGTCAGGATCTCGGCTAGTGGCAATTGTGTCTATATTTGGTGACACAGGGATGATACTTGGGAATAGAACCACAACATGGGAAGAAATGTCAACGTGACTAAGAGTAGACATTCCTCATTATTAGCATGGTAGATTTCAAGGATGACTGAATGTGTTTTGGTTATATGTTGCTTTGGTTTCAAACATTCCATACATTCTGTTTTATTTCCTATATAATCTCACGTAATGATGACTTTGGAATATTATTGAAGCCAAATGCTGCAAATTCCTCTATTAAGTTTCCTTCATCAAATATTTCCTGCAAATTTACCACACTTTTAGCTCTCCTTCAATAAATTTTCAGTGCTAACTTTGCCTTTCAGTTGAAGACTACTTATGTAAGTTAAAATCTTACCCCTGTTAAAGTTATCCTTGTGTTTCAGGGTGAAAAACGCAGAAGTAGAAATTTTCCATGTTACAGTTAGATGAAATAGAACGGTCACAATAGTTAAATGTATGTAGCTACAAAGTAGGCTAGGCATGTCGTGGGTAGTAGGCTAAATAATGCTGTCTCCCGACTTACCAGAGAGTATTCAGAGGATTATTAGAACAGGGTTAGCCATGGCTGTGTTCTTAATGGCTCTATACAAGATGTCATGATGGTGCCAGCACTGTGGAACCAGGCTATCTTGTCGTTGGACGGACACCGAGGGCTCCGACCTTGACAATGGTAGAAATAAAAATCTGTCAACGCCATAAACAATTAGCCAGAGTTATCAGTCAGTAACAATTAACATGGCTGAAAGCATTGGCAGTGTTGTAAAGCTGAACTGTTCATTGTTGATCAGATGATGAGAAGAAAATTCTGATTGATCCTCACATTTACTCGCCTAACAAGGTTCAATCAGTGATGATGTACTTAGGTCTATTTGCCGTAATTGAAGGCCTGTTGTGCTTGACAATGAGTTATTTAGGAAGTAAACAAATTGTATTTGTTGATGGATTTTGTATAAACTGATTTTAACAAAGATATTGTTCAAACTCATACTTTTTATACACCCATCAAAATTTGGACGGGACTTATTACAGTACAGGGAGCACCTGTCAAACCACACTTCTGTTTCTACAAGAAAGCTTGCTTAAATATGGTTCAATTTTGATGAAACTTGGTATGAATGTTCATCATACAAAGATAAAGGCTAAGCTTAAAGGTGAGCGAAATCGACACATAATTCATTAGCATAATGCTATCTGATTGCAATTGGTCAATGCTTTTCTCACAATAACTATTTTTTTAGTCAAATATGACAGGATTCTGATGGTCAATATTTACACTATGTCTAATAACGAAATCATTAATAAACAACAGATTTTAAAAAAAGATATCGTGTAAGATGACTTGACTATGGGCAAAAAGGGGCACTTTCTATTTTTATGGTTTGAAATATATACAAAGGGAGGCAATTGCTAATCAATAGTTTAGAGGTCGTAAAGGATATGTGAAATATATTTATTCCTTCAGCTTAAGTTGGTCAAGTAAAGTATGTTTTCTCCTTTCACCACAGTCCAGGAACAGTTCTCAACTTTACTGAATAATACAGTTCAATGTTGTTTTCTTCTCCTTATATTTACGTACATTTAGATACAATAATGCATTAGAAGAACTCTAAGTATGTCAGATTGTCATGGGATGAGCGTATATTGTTCCGCCCTGTAACGTCAGATTGTCATGGGATGAGCGTATATTGTTCCGCCCTGTAACGTCAGATTGTCATGGGATGAGCGTATATTGTTCCGCCCTGTAACGTCAGATTGTCATGGGATGAGCGTATATTGTTCCGCCCTGTAACGTCAGATTGTCATTGGACGAGCGTATATTGTTCCGCCCTGTAACGTCAGATTGTCATGGGATGCCTGTAATATTCTTGTTCACCTATACTGTTAGACTTTATTACGGCTACTCAAGTATTAACAAAATATGTTGTTGATGCAAAGTTAAAAGAGGACAAAAATACACTGTTTATTATCAACAGTATTTACTGGGAAATAATTCATGTTTGATCATTGCACAGCTCAGAATACTCATGTCCAGATTATATGAAAAAGTCAGTGTCATTTTTCCGTATTGAGTATCTGATGAAGCTGATCTGTTGTGCGAATTCACTTTGTGATGTTTTGTTTCTTGGGCCAATCAAACAAATGAGGATAATGCTGGGTACAAATAAAATGGACACTCCTTATACCATGTTGCAATGCTTTCAGGGCCTAGTGGAGGGAAACACATGTGTTTTAACAAGCTGCTATTTACCTTTAATCGTCGTGACATTCCCTGAAATTTTCTGTTTCATTGCCGCAATATCTAAATGACTTTTCTATAAGGAGCCAAGTGTTTATGCAGGCCATTCCAGGAGAACTGAAAACACTTTTGTTTGATATTTGAAATTTGAGCATCGGCTTTAAAAAATAAGTTTTATTGCTCTTTCCGGTCAAGTTTTGTGCTTTTATGTGTTTTGTTCTTCAGTTGCATTTAAAGATGTAGAATTTTTTTTATTTTATTGTTTTTACCGTTTTAGCTAACCTTTTCCTTGCGGCCATGATCCTGAAAGAAAAGATACGAGCTGAAAATCTTTTTGGTAAGTGGGATATTTTCGTTTGATTATTTTGTAAGAGTTGATGTTGTAAAAGTTACAGTAAAGGTTTACAGTAGCATTAAATGGTACAGTAGCACGAAAGGTTACAGAAACTGTAAAGGTTACAAAAACAGTAAAAGTTACAGTAACAGTTACAGTAAAGGTTACAGTAGCAGAAAAGGATACAGTAACAGTAAAAGTTAGAGTAACAGTTACAGTAAAGGATACAGTAACAGTAAAGGATACAGTACCAGCAAATCCAGCAGTAACAGTAAAAGTTACAGTATCATTTAAAGGTTACTGTGACAGTAAAGGTTACAGTAGCATAAAATGTTATAGTAGCATAAAATGTTACAGTAGCATAAAATGTTACAGTAGCATTTAAGGTTCAGTAGCATTAAAGGTTACCTGAGCATTAAAGGTTTCAGTAACAGTAAAGGTTACGGTAACTGTAAAGGTTACAGTAACTGTAAAGGTTACAGTAGCATAAAATGTTACAGTAGCATTTAAGGTTCAGTAGCATTAAAGGTTACAGTAACTGTAAAGGTTACAGTAACAGAAAAGGTTACAGTAACAGAAAAGGTTACAGTAACAGTTAAGGATTCAGTAATAGTAAAGATTACAGTTAGAATAAAGGTTACAGTAACAGTCAAGATTACAGTTACAGTCAAGATTACAGTAACAGTAAAGGTTACAGTAACATTAAAGGTTACAGTAGCATTAAAGGTTACAGTAACTGTAAAGGTTAAAGTAGCATAAAGGTTACAGTAACTGTAAAGGTTACAGTAGTATTAAAGGTTACAGTAACAGAAAAGGTTACAGTAACAGTAAAGGATTCAGTAATAGTAAAGGTTACCGTTAGAGTAAAGGTTACAGTAACAGTCAAGATTACAGTTACAGTCAAGATTACAGTAACAGTAAAGGTTACAGTAACATTAAAGGTTACAGTAGCATTAAAGGTTACAGTAACTGTAAAGGTTAAAGTAGCATAAAGGTTACAGTAACTGTAAAGGTTACAGTAGTATTAAAGGTTACAGTAACAGAAAAGGTTACAGTAACAGTAAAGGATTCAGTAATAGTAAAGGTTACAGTTAGAGTCAATGGTTACAGTAACAGTCAAGATTACAGTTACAGTCAAGATTACAGTAACAGTAAAGGTTACAGTAACATTAAAGGTTACAGTAGCATTAAAGGTGACAATAGCATTAAAGGTTACAGTAACAGTAAAGGTTACAGTAGCATTGAAGGTTACAGTAACAGTAAGGGTTACAGTAGCATTAAAGGTTACATGTATCATTAAAGGTTCAGTAGCATTAAAGGTTACAGTAATAGTAAAGGTTACAGTAGCATTAAATGTTACAGTAAAGGTTAAGGTTACAGTAAAGGTTAAGGTTACAGTAACAGTAAAGGTTATGGTTACATTAACAGTAAATTAAAGGTTACAGTGACTTAATGGTTACAGACAAAAATACTTTGAAAGTGAAGGTTACAGTAAGAGTTACAGTGACAGTGAAGGTTACAGGGACAAAAAATGTTACTGTAAAAGCTACAAGTTAGTTTACATTAAAAGTTAAAGAAATATTGACCAGATCTGCTATGAATTGTGACCATGTGGTCCCTGTGGCTCAGACTGGGTTGGTGAGAGTTCAATAGTAGTTAGGAAAAATCTTGAAATATGGTTATATGTGCAAAAAAGTCAGGAAAATCTGATATCATTTTAAAGCCATAAATCAGTTGATAGAAGTAAGATTGATATGTTTAGAGGATAAATTTTGCTTTGAAAGCCCTTTGAATGTTTCACTGGTTAAAGTTAACCAACCGTTGAGCGTATAGAACTGTGTTTGATAAAAATGTGTTTCTGTCGTTGCAACAATGAATGCTATTTTGACAAGCAAAGAGATATTTAGGCTTTTTGTAACATTAACTCACCTTACCAATACCATCAACAGTAATAAAGCTACCAAGTGAGCATATTCTGTGACATTTCTTGCTGTATAGAATGATGAAAATATTGTAAGTTATTATGACCAGGTATTACAGAGTCTAACCGTGACCAGATATGGGACTTTCAGAGGTTGACAGGTAGGCTTATTACTGGTTGATTTGAATTCAAGAAGTCCAGCTTAGCCTCTGATTGGCCGAGATATTTTCTATTTCAATTTCCGTCAGGCTGATTTTGACAAAACTTTTATACAAATGTTCATGTCATAGCCCTGAGCTAGTGTTGTTGTTTCTTTTGTACCAATTCACAAACACCTCTTTTCTGATTAGCTGAGACATAAACATCCTTTCCACTTTCTCTAGGCCAATGGTAACCAGACTTGATCTGAAGGATACTCTGATGGCTCAGACGTCTGCTGTTGTAACTTGTGTTGATAGGAAATCCAAAATGGCTACCCTGTCCTTTCACAATTCCGCTAGATAATTTTAACCAAATGTCATACAAATGTTCCTCTCATACCAGGTGTAATTCTTTGGGCCCGCAGGGAATGTAAGCTGGCCACCATTATCCCAAATTAGCAGAAACATTCAACTTCAACGTCTCAAATAACAGGTGAACGGTACAGGCCTGATAGGCCTTTTCATCATTTATTGAACAGGGTTTAAAAATTCCATATTTTCTCGGTTTCAGGGTCTGCTATGGCTGTCATTGGTGCTTTTCTCATCGTCACCTTTTCATCCAAGGTTGGTATGAGCACTTCTGTTTACTGGGATATTTTTGTTGCAGTTTAATTTTTCGCTTTTTTCGCCCTCCGTATTGAAGGCAAATATATCATTACAGCAGACATTTGTAAACAACATAATATAAATAAATGTAAGGGACGAATTTGACATTTGGCTAAAAAATTAAATCCTCAGTAAACAAATTTCACTTACAAAGACATTTTTATATTGCTAAAAGTGTTGTAAATGCCAGACTTGAAAGTAGGAAGACCTCCTTCCAGCATTGCTAGGCTCCATTCTGCTCTCACAAATATGAAAGATGTTCGTCATCAGTAATTGGAGTGTTATTGTGGTGATAGGTTCCCCAGGGCTCATTTATCATTGATATCATAGAGAATTGGTGTTGTGAAAATGTATGCATGTAGTTGTATGATTCCTATTAAATTTTCACTAATATTGATCTCTGAGCCACATCCACTGTTAAAATCAGTATAGGACAATTTGTAGCAATTCTGAAATGAAGCTAACCAGCATGTGGTCTATGTATTACTCTACACGGAGTTCACCGATATAATTGGATTTCTAGGAAGGAGGCTGGCACAGACTTCTTCTGAGGTGGTTAGCTGTTTACTAAAATAGATAACAAAATTTAGGTATATCTAATTATCAACCTGGAGGCACTGAAAGGTAACATTTCTGTAGAATCTTCCAATAATGTACTTGTTGTCACATTTCAACTGTATGTCTACAGATCTTGTGTTACAGTGTATATCTGTCAATCATGTATTACAATGTCACGCAAGACAATGTATGTATTTCAATGTCACACATAAAAGTGTATATCTGCCAGCCCTGTATTAGCATGTTAGACATTACAGTGTATATCTGCCAATCATGTATTACAACGTCACACAAGACAATTTATGTATTACAATGTCACACATAACGGTGTATATCTGTCAATCCTGTATTACCATGTTGGACATTACAGTGTATATCTGCCATTCCTGTATTACAATGTTAGACCTTACAGTGTATATCTGCCAGTCCTGTATTACCATGTTAGACATTATAGTGTATATATGCCAGTCCTGTAATACCATGTTACACAATACAATGTATATCTGTCAGTCCTGTATTACCATGTTACACAATACAATGCCATACATTACAGTGTATATCTGCCAGTCCTGTATTACAATGTTACACAATACAATGTATATCTGTCAGTCCTGTATTACCATGTTACACAATACAATGTCATACATTACAGTGTATATCTGCCAGTTCTGTATTACAATGTCATACATTACAGTGTGTATCTGCCAGTCCTGTATTACCATGTTATACATTACAGTGTATATCTGTCAATCCTGTATTACCGTGTTAGACATTACAGTGTATATCTGCCAGTCCTGTATTACAATGTTAGACATTACAGTGTATATCTGTCAATCCTGTATTACAATGTTACACATTACAGTGTATATTTGTCAGTCCTGTATTGCCATGTTAGACATTACAGTGTATATCTGCCAGTCCTGTATTACCATGTTACACAATACAATGTATATCTGTCAGTCGTGTATTACCATGTTAGACATTACAGTGTATATTTGTCAGTCCTGTATTGCCATGTTAGACATTACAGTGTATATCTGCCAGTCCTGTATTACAATGTTACACAATACAATGTATATCTGTCAATCCTGTATTACAATGTCATACATTACCGTGTATATCTGTCAATCCTGTAATACAATGTTATACAATACCATGTATATCTGTCAATCCTGTATTACAATGTCATACATGACCGTGTATATCTGCCAGTCCTGTATTACAATGTTACACAATACAATGTATATCTGTCAGTCCTGTATTACAATGTTAGACATTACAGTGTATATCTGCCAGTCCTGTATTACAATGTCATACATTACCGAGTATATCTGCCAGTCCTGTATTACAATGTCATACATTACTGTGTATATCTGTCAATCCTGTATTACCATGTTAGACATTACAGTGTATATCTGTCAGTCCTGTATTACAATGTTACACATTACAGTGTATATCTGCCAGTCATGTATTACCATGTTATACATTACAGTGTATATCTGTCAATCCTGTATTACCATGTTAGACATTTCAGTATATATCTGTCAATCCTGTATTCCAATGTCATACATTACCATGTATATCTGCCAGTCCTGTATTACCATGTAAGACATTACAGTGTATATCTGTAAGTCCTGTATTACAATGTTACAAATTACAGTGTATATCTGCCAGTTCTGTATTACCATGTTAGACATTACAGTTTATATCTGCCAGTCATGTATTACCATGTTATACATTACAGTGTATATCTGCCAGTTCTGTATTACCATGTTAGACATTTCAGTATATATCTGTCAATCCTGTATTCCAATGTCATACATTACCATGTATATCTGCCAGTCCTGTATTACCATGTTATACATTACAGTGTATATCTGCCAGTCATGTGTTACCATGTTATACATTACAGTGTATATCTGCCAGTCATGTATGACCATGTTATACATTACAGTGTATATCTGTCAATCCTGTAATTCAATGTCATACAATACCGTGTATAACTGTCAATCCTGTATTACAATGTCATAGATTACTGTGTATATCTGTCAATCCTGTAATACAATGTCATACAATACCGTGTATATCTGTCAATCCGGTATTACAATGTCATACATTACCGTGTATATCTGTCAATCCTGTAATACAATGTCATACAATACCGTGTATATCTGTCAATCCTGTATTACAATGTCATACATTACCATGTATATCTGCCAGTCCTGTATTACAATGTCATACATTACCGTGTATATCTGTCAGTCCTGTATTACAATGTCATACATTACCGTGTATATCTGTCAATCCTGTATTACAATGTCATACATTTCCGTGTATATCTGTCAATCCTGTATAGATATGAAGGGCAACTGTTATTGTTATATTTGGTGGAAAACCCCCATCACCTCATCACTGAGATATGACAAGGGAATGTAATTTTGATATTTAAGTGGAAAATCCCCATCATTGCATTACTTATATATATACTTCTGCCAATGAAACCATTTGTGAGACATACATTTATGTTCAACGCTGATACAGTAACAATGTCTTTGTAGAAAGAGATGGTACGGGATGGTGAGGAGCTGAACACTGCTGTCACAGAAGTGTCTTTCATCGTTTACATAGTAAGTTTTCTTCACCATGAACTGTAAATATCCTTCATTTAGTACATTTCAATTTGCCTTCATCATGTACGCTGTCAGTGTACTTAATTGTATATGTTTCTTCATTGCAACTATTTTTACTCTATTGTGAACAATGTAAGTATTTTCCATTGTGTGTATTGTAAGTATTTCTCAAACAATACGAAGATAGTGGTACCTTATAAATGTTTATTAACAGAATATATCAATATGCATTATTAAAAAAATGGATTTATGCAATATTTTTCCATTATTCAGAAAATACAACTTGGCACACACAGGAAATATAATAATATTGTACGGTATTTGTGGAGAAATGAGTATCTAAATTAACAGAAGCAGAGTTAATGATGTACACTGCTAACCATCAGAGCTGTGTGATTGCCAGCTGTTAGTTAAATTTGCCCTACACAGCTCTGTAGTGTTAGAGAGAGAAATAAGGAAAGAGCTATTAAGGAAAGCCTTTTGGCATTTTACTTAACCAATAGACAGAAATAGCCTTTGACAGATTTACAATTCATGTAGCAAAAGATATAGCCAAACACGATGATATTTATCTTGAAGTCGGGGAAAATATGGGCAATAGTTCGCAGGGCTGACCTATCAGTGTTCGAGTTTTCTTAATTTCTCAATTGGCCTCCTTTGTGTAAAATTATACTTAAAGAATTATTTCAGCTGGGTGAACCTACCTTTAGTCAGACTACCTGCAGAATCAGGGGTTTTCATCTGCATCTTTTACTTAGAAGATGCTGAAGAGACTAAAACTGATCTACTGAACTCATCCCTACTGATCTACTGTCCCCATCCCTACTGATCTGCTGTCCCCATCCCTACTGATCTACTGTCCCCTTCCCTACTGATCTACTGTCCCCATCCCTACTGATCTACTGTCCCCATTCCTACTGATCTACTGTCCCCATTCATACTGATCTACTGTCACTATTCCTACTGATCTACTGTCCCCATCCTTACTGATCTGCTGTCCCCATTCCTACTGATCTACTGTCCCCATCCCTACTGATATACTGTCCCCATCCCTACTGATCTACTGTCCTCATCCCTACTGATCTACTGTCCCCATCCCCACTGATATGCTGTCCCCATTCCTACTGATCTACTGTCCCCATCCCTACTGATATACTGTCCCCATCCCTACTGATCTACTGTCCCCATCCTTACTGATCTCCTCTCCCCATCCCTACTGATCTGCTGTCCCCATCCCTACTGATCTACTGTCCCCATCCCTCCTGATCTACTGACCCCATCCCTACTGATCTACTGTCACTATTCCTACTAATCTACTGTCCCCATCCCTACTGATCTACTGTCACTATTCCTACTGATCTACTGTCCCCATCCTTACTGATCTACTCTCCCCATCCCTACTGATCTGCTGTCCCCATCCCTACTGATCTACTGTCCTCATCCCTACTGATCTACTGTCCCCATCCCCACTGATCTACTGTCCCCATCCCTACTGATCTACTGTCCCCATCCCTACTGATCCACTGTCCCCATCCCNATCCCATCCCTACTGATCTTCTGTCCCCATCCCTTCTCTCTCCTTTCACTGGCTTCTCCCTAGGCACACATCTTCACATGACGTTAGCTGTTGTGAGGATGTTAAACCCCAAACAAATAGATAAACACCGNCCCCTTCTGATCCACTGTCCCCATCCCTACTGATCTACTGTCTCCATCCCTCCTGATCTACTGACCCCATCCCTACTGATCTACTGTCACTATTCCTACTAATCTACTGTCCCCATCCCTACTGATCTACTGCCCCCATCCCTACTGATCTACTGTCCCCATCCCTACTGATCTACTGTCTCCATCCCTACTGATCCACTGTCCCCATCCCTACTGATCGGCTGTCCCGTTCCTTCTGATCTACTGTCCCCATCCCTCCTGATCTACTGTCCTCATCCCTACTGATTTACTGTTCTCATCCCTACTGATTTACTGTCCCCATCCCTACTTATCTACTGTCCCCATTCCTACTGATCCACTGTCCCCATCCCTACTGATCTACTGTCCTCATCCCTACTGATCTCCTGTCCCCATCCCTACTGATCTACTGTCCCCATCCATACTGATCTACTGTCCCCATCCCTACTGATCTACTGTCCTCAAATTCTTATCCTTTGATGACATATCCCTACTGATCTACTGTCTCCATCCCTACTGATGTACTGTCCCCATTCATACTGATCTACTGTCCCCATCCCTACTGATCTACTGTCCCCATCCCTACTGATCTACTGTCC